AAATTCCTTTGCCTTACCTTCTTCTCTGATGTCTGCTTGATCTAGGATATGCAGCTGAGGAGGATGACTGGTTCTGCTAAACTATCCTCTGGCCTTTACCACCTTGAGACCCTTGTAGACACCAACTCACCAAAACTCATCTCAGCTGCCAACATACAAGACTTTGATATTTGGCACCATAGATTAGGCCATGTCTCTCATTCCAAAGTGCCCATTTTGAAAACTTTTTGTCCGCAGATACATACAAACATCTCTATAGCCTGTGATGTCTGTCATTTTGCTAGGCAGAAGAGACTTCTATTTCCTTCTAGTACTTCTGTAACCAAACAAGTTTTTGACATGCTACATGTTGACATCTGGGGACCAAATCTAGTTCCCGTTATGATGGTTTCAAGTATTTCCTCACCATTGTTGATGAATTCAGTAGAATGACTTCATTGATTCTCTTACAAACAAAATCAGAAGCTAGATCAAAGCTTCAAGCTTTCTGTTCTTATGCAGAAAGACAAATCAAGGTAGAGAATTCACCATGACTGATTTTTTCAACCAGACTGGGATCCTTCATGAATTAAGCTGTGTTGAGACTCCACAACAAAACATTAAAGTGGAGAGGAAGCACCAACATATTATTGCTGTTGCTAGAGCCCTTCAATTTCAAGCTAACGTTTCTCCTGCTTTTTGGAGAGACTGTGTCAAACACTCTGTTTATTTAATCAAATAGGGTTCCACACTTGTTCTGGGGAACCAAACTCCTTATGAAAAACTTCAATCAACCACCAGACTTGTCTGACCTCAGAGTCTTTGGATGTTTATGTTTTGCTAGTACCCTAGCCAATCACAGAGGGAAGTTTGATCCTAGATCTAGGAAGGGAGTATCCATTGGTTTTCAGAATGCGATGAAAGGTTATAAAATTTATGATCTTCAGACTCATGATGTTTTTGTATCCAGCGATGTTCAATTTCATGAACATATATTTCCCTTTCATAATCCTACCCCAAACCAAAGCTCAGCCTATTCAAACCCCTCTGATCCAGCCTTATATGATGATCCTAGTCCCTCCTATTCTCCTTCTAATCAGCCTAGTCAATCTCTAGACCCTCCCCAATTCATTCAAGACCAACATTTTGATACAGATACTGAAGATGACTCCGGCCAGGAGACATCTTCCCCTCAACCACCTTCCCCTCCTCCACCAGTCAATCCACTTCTTGTCGGAAAATCTATTAGAACCATCAAACGTCTTTCCCACCTACAACAATACCATTGCAACATGCTTCAACACCGTTCTTCCACCAGTCATCCAAATCAGCTGGCATCTCCATGTATGACATATCCTCTCTCCTCAGTTCTTGATTACTCTACTCTTTCTCCTAATCACAAGCATTGTGTTCTAAGCATCTCTTCCCACAAGGAACCAGAAACCTATAAGGAAGCCATTCAATTCTCTGAATGAAATGATGCTATGACAATTGAAACCAAGGCTTTGGAAGCCAACCACACTTGGGATGTGGTTGAGCTCCCTCCTGGGAAGAATGGAGTTGGTAATAAATGAGTCCACAAAAAGAAGCATCTAGTAGATGGCAGATTGGAAAGGCAAAAAGCTAGACTGGTAGCCAAAGGCTACAGTCAACAAGAATGAGTGCTTATAGTCGTTGCAATAGCCTTATAGAGACAGATATAAAAACAAATATTATTTGTTACTTATGTGGAAAACTACGTCTAATTAATATTTTAGTCTCTAAAGACCTTTTTTGAAGACTATTATTTTGTCTCCATATTGACATTTAGAAACATAAATATTTGTTTCGAATTTTACCTTTAGAATCGGACTTTTTTGTTTCTAATATTAGTTCTTAGCCACATAAATAGTACCCTCCAATTTGATTTTTAGAGTCAGATTCTTTTGTTTCTAATATTAGTTGTTTGAGTCTATTATATTTGCATCAAAATAATTGATTAAAATATAATTACCTACAGCTCATTTACTTCATAATTCAATTGAGTTCAGTAAACAAACATAACTATATACTGATTTGTCAATTTTATTGCTATCCGCACGAACTGAATAAACTTTGAAATCCACCTTTCACTTCCATGAAGCCAACCAGTAATAGTGCGTACATTGGAAAATTGTCTAAGTGCCTACAAATTGAAAATTACAGTTTAGTGAACTACAAATAAAAAAAAAACCTACAAATTTTTACAAGATAACTTCATAATCGTATCCCCTCAGTGGTAAGTGCACCTTAGGACTACTCGGAAGTGGTTTGGCGTTGGATTCGTGAAAAACTAGTTCGAAACTCGACTCGTTTACTAACGAATCGAGCTTGAGCTAAGTCTTCTGCAGCTGGTGGAGCTCGCGAGCTAGCTCAACTCGGTAGCTCAACTCTCAACATTGTGGCTAGAGAGCCTACTCGATTACCCATTTATGAACAAATCGATCTATATGAATTTTATTTGGATAATTCATAGAATTGTTAAATTATATATCTCACTCTATAAGAAGTTTAACACGTAGATTATTTGAGCAAATATGTCTTATTTAATTTTAAAAAGAAATTATGTATCATAAATTGTTTCGATACTATGAAATAACATAATTTTTTACTAATTAAAATTTATTAACTAAATAATATGATACCACAAAGTATAACATGAGATTAGTTAATATTGAACACTTAACTATTATTATTATTATTATTATTATCTTGACATTGATTACATGTATCATACATCAAACACAAAATGAATATATCAAATACGAGTCAAGATTTTTGTAAACAACCTAGCTCGAACCCGACTCGACTTGGCTCTTTAATAAACGAGTCGAGCTCAAACTCCACTTATTTATTAACGAATTGAGCCTGAGTTAAAATTCCGCTGGACTTGACTCATTTGTACCCCTACTCCACATCCTAGTTTTTAGAGCACAACTGCACAACATGCTATAATCTATATATTGTAGGTTCCTATTTCACAAAGGAAACCCTAATGTATCTAGGAACCCTTACGTAACAATACAAATTACACAAAAGCACACAAACTAAAATAAGTTGTCATTTTAACATTCCCGGGACAAATTATCGTAAAATTAGTCAAAGGTTAATTGTTTTCCCCGTAAATTATGTGTACCAATTGTGGTCAAACAAGATCCACAATAAAAAAAAAAAAACGACTATCATTCCACTCAAATATGTTTTTCTCCAAATTGGTCTCCTACTAATTAGCCCAAGGGCGTGACATTCACATCATCACATTACTGTCAGTCTATCACTAATCCCTCCGCCATCCACCGACCTGGCCCTTTTTGCGCTCCATTTGATATTTTTGCAGCAAGTTGAGCGAATCCTAACTAGATAGGGTCCCAAGAGTAGAGTCGAGTTTTGATTTAGTTTGACTTCCACATATTAATGAGGTCACGATCTCTAATCGCGTTGAGATCATCAATTAACTCGTCAGATCGATCCGAACTTAAATGTCTTATTATTTAGTTAATAATTTTTAATTGTCCATGTCATGGTTATTTAAAAGTAATTGTTATATGAGCAATTAATCTGTTTTAAATTGTAAATGACACATATTTGATTAAACACTCAAATTCTTAAACATCATATATGGTGAGATATATAATTTAATAAAACTATGAATTATCAATAAGCCACTAATAAGCTGCCAATCGATTCCCTCATGAATTGCTAGTTGAGATGTTCCGTTATTGTACTGTCGAACCAACTCATAACTCAAAACTAGCCATCAAATCAAGCTTATTCATGAGTCTTGCGAGCTTAGCGAAATTTAACTCAAACTGAATTAATTAGTAAAAAAATTGAGTATCGAACATGATTTTTCCGAAACGCTAGTCCTAAAAGTTGGAGACAAGGCCAAACCCAAAAACCTTTCTGTGCATGCATCCCTCCGAAAAAGCCTCGGTGGGGTTTATATTGCCCGCCACTTGTAATTGTAATATTAATTCGTGGCTGCGTTCATTTAATAGAGCTGTCTGTGTTCCCACTTTGTTTCAGTCCACAAAGGCCAAAGCCTTTCCTTTTCTTGGAAGCTTGTTTTCCCCACTTTCAGACGGGTCTCCGTTTATGAATAATAGGAAAAATTCATATTTACAATAAAGATAAGTAAACGCTTGAATTTGTAGCCAAAGTAGATAACGGCAGCCAAGTCCATGAAAACGAAAAACTGACACTTATAGATCAAATTTCGGGCCAAACTAGTTTCGGTCCACAAAACCTTTTGTTTTCTTTGAAGCCCTGTTTTCCCCTGTTTCAGACGGGTCTCCGTTTATGAAAAAAAGGAACAAATCATACACAATAATTCAATAAGAGAAGTAAACGTTTGAATTTGTTCCACCAAAAAAACGTTTGAATTTGTAGCCAAAAGTAGGTAACGACGGCCAAGTCGGGGAAAAACGAAAATCTCAGCTGGAAAAAGAAGAGCCCTCATTAGCATAGACCAGGAAACCGGATCGTACCGGCCGGTTCAACCGGTTCAACCGGAAATTGGACCAAAAGCGGTACGGTGGGCTTATTGTGCCGATTTTACCTTACCGGCCGGTTTTTTCGGTTTGACCGGTTGAACCGGTTGAACCGGCCGGTATGATCCGGTTTCCTGGTCTATGATTCAGCTTCATTTCTCCGTATTCTCGTCCAATATGTGGAAAATAATTAAAAAGAATATTATTTTGCTATTTTTCTATGTTGAAAATGGGTCACCGTGGTTGTATAATGCTCTATTTGGTTCTTTTTTTGATGGATTATATTTTTTATACTATCGCATTTCATTTCTCTATCAATAGTGAAAAACGATATTTACCGGTACAAAATGGTTGAACCACGGTCGTACCACAAAATACCATACCAGAAAGGAATCCGGTATGATGTCCGGTACGGTTTCCTTTACCATGCTCATTAGTAATTACCCAAAAAAAAAAAAATATAATAAATAAAGAGCCCATCTGGGTAGGTGATAGACTGATAGTGATCCATTTTTGTCTTTTCTATCTTTTTGTTTTTTTGTTTTTTATATTATCTCCAAACTTCACCTCCATTGTTTTGGGCTAAGCATCACATTCACAAGCCCTTGATGCTCTAACGCCCTCATTGCCCTTCCATTTTTCATTCTCCGAGAGAGTCAGAGAGAGATAAGTTTGTTTAATCATATCGATTGCTTATAAAACAGGGGATACAGATTTTACAGAGCACAGTCCTTCCCCATATAAGTGGACCACACTCGACTCTGCACTTCCAGCGAAAAAGGAAGAGAGGAGCATAAGAAAAGATAGAAGGACGTGAAGAGTGTCATCCCTTTCCCTTAACTTCCATTCTCAGAGTTTCTTAGGCTGCCATGGCTTCCAGGACGGTCTCTTGGTTGCTTGCTCGTTCCCTCTCTTCTTCTGGGCCCAGATCTGCCCTGCTCCCGAGAGGTACTCCATCTTTTCTTTATCTCTCTCTATGATCGCGATCGTCAACTACTGTGGAGCACTTTGGGAGGGATTCTGTTCCTGGTCGATGTGAACTGTTGCTTTTGTTGGGTTCCTCAGAAAATTGCCATTTTTGATCGAAAGGTTTGATCTTTTTTGGTCTGTTTTGGCGAGACAGAGAAACTGGGGCCTTAAGCCAAAGTGGGTTCGATGGGGATGAGATTTTTGGAATTTCATTTCTTTCTCTGAATTCTCCTTTCTTTTTTCGTGAGATTCTACTGAACAATTGATTCTATATTCGTCCTCCTCGTTAATCTTGTTCTGGGAATCGGGTCTCTGCAGCAGATCCACATGTTTAATTATTATTATCTTCGTTCTTTTAAGTCCTGGTTTCCCCTGAATTCTGACCCTGACAATTATATTATCATTCATGGCATCCCCGACCTAACTTCGATCGGGTCGCACGTTTTCCAGGGAAGAAATTAGGGTTGGTGAGCAGAGGAGGAATCCACAGGTACAACAGCACTGCTGCCGCTGCTGAGGAACCCATTACTCCACCTGTAACTGTACCACATACTCAACTCCTCATTAATGGCAAATTCGTTGATGCCGCTTCAGGTCCTACTACTAGTACTACTATAATACTGTTATTACTACTATTATAATATGTACTTCTTCACATCCTTGTTCCTCACTTTCGTTTACTGAACTTCATTTTGCCTTTTAAGTTTTAACTCTGGTTCTTGTGCCAACAGGAAGAACTTTCCAAACACTGGACCCAAGAACTGGGGAAGTGATTGCTAATGTAGCTGAAGGTGATGCCGAGGATGTCAATCGAGCTGTCGCCGCTGCTCGCAAGGCATTTGATGAAGGACCATGGCCCAGGCTTCCTGCTTTTGTAAATATGAGAACATTTCCGTTATATTTTTTCCTCCCATTCAATATGTTGTGTTGGAATCAGGGATGAGTCTGTTGTTTGCTCTGGTGTGCTACTTCCCAGGAAAGGCAAAAGATATTGTTGAAGTGTGCTGATTTGGTAGATAAGCACAACGATGAGATTGCAGCACTTGAGACATGGGACAATGGGAAGCCTTATGAACAAGCTGCTAAAGTTGAGGTGCCAATGTTTGCGCGGCTCTTTCGGTACTATGCTGGTATGATTCAGTCACCAAATGTTCCTATTCGGTGGGAATGTGTTAGTTTTCTTGGAGACATGATGAGGGAACTCACTCAAATTTGGATTTCTCTGCTGGTAAATTTTTTTAGGTTGGGCTGATAAGATCCATGGCCTCACTGTACCGGCTGATGGACCTTACCACGTGCAAACCTTGCATGAGCCAATTGGTGTTGCAGGGCAGATCATTCCTTGGAACTTCCCTCTTCTCATGTTTGCCTGGAAGGTTGGCCCGGCTTTAGCAACTGGGAACACCATTGTTCTCAAGACTGCTGAACAAACGCCTTTGTCTGCTCTCTATGTGGCTAGGCTATTTCATGAGGTACTTACTGACTGAGAGTCATTGCCTCTCCATATGATCTGTGCCACTTTTATCAACCTTTCTTTCTTGAGACTGATGGTGGCTCTCTGGAAGTCCCATTTTCAGCCACTTAATATATTTTTTGTGGCTTTGTTGTCAGGCTGGCCTTCCTGAAGGTGTTTTGAATATAATTTCTGGGTTTGGACCAACTGCTGGTGCGGCTCTTGCTAGCCATATGGATGTCGACAAGGTAAACTGAATATTGACACCAAAAATGTTAATTGGCTCTCCTTCTACTGATTGTCAAGATTGTGCTAACTACTTTCTCCGAGGCTTACTTCAATTGTTAAACCAAATACAGCTGACTTGCTGCGCTATGTATTTGCAGCTTGCTTTCACTGGATCCACTGAAACGGGAAAGATAGTTCTGGAGCTAGGAGCAAAAAGCAACTTGAAGCCAGTCACTTTGGAGCTTGGAGGGAAATCACCTTTCATTGTTTGTGAGGATGCTGATGTGGATCAAGCTGTTGAGCTTGCTCATTTTGCTTTGTTCTTCAACCAGGCATGTGCTTGTTTCTGCAGAACACTGTGAATATTGTTCCAATCGATAAGTTTGCTTTACTGAATCTCAAAATTCTGGTCCTCAAAACTGCAGGGCCAGTGCTGCTGTGCTGGATCTCGTACATTCGTGCACGAAAAAGTATACGACGAATTTGTTGAGAAAGCCAAGGCGCGTGCTTCAAGACGCTCAGTCGGCGATCCATTCAAGGCCGGCATTGAACAAGGCCCTCAGGTATACTTCAAATAAGTCTTTTCTAACTTTGACAAACTCCGGATCAGCCAATTTCTTAAAAGCAGGAAGAGTACTCTTCTTGTGTGTGTATATCACTGAAATGTGGCGGCTTAGTCTGAGGTTTATCCTTGATGAATGCAATCATTGACAGGTCGATTCAGAGCAGTTTGAGAAGATCCTGAAATACATAAGATCTGGTGTCGAGTGTGGAGCTACCCTAGAAACTGGAGGTGAACGATACGGTTCCAAGGGCTACTACGTCCAGCCTACTGTCTTCTCTAACGTCAAGGTAATGCCAATGATACCACATGAATTATGCACGACTCCCTACTAACCTTTTTCTGTCACATCAACCACAGCTCTAAACACATTATTGTTTGTTCTTGCCCCTCATTTTAGGATGACATGTTGATTGCAAAAGATGAGATCTTTGGACCAGTTCAGTCCATCCTGAAGTTCAAGTAAGCAACTAAGGAACAAACTACCATTTTTACCCTTTTTCGTACTAAGAACAACATGGTAAAACATAATCGGAGTGTCTGTAATCTCTTTTGTTGTTGGTTTTTCCCCCACAGGGATCTTAATGAAGTCATCAAAAGATCAAATGCAACCCGGTATGGGCTGGCAGCAGGTGTGTTTACACAGAACATAGACACCGCCAACACCTTGATCAGGGCGCTTAGAGTTGGGACGGTGTGGGTGAACACGTTTGATATCTTTGATGCCGCGATCCCCTTTGGTGGGTACAAGATGAGCGGACATGGGAGGGAGAAGGGTATCTACAGTCTTAGCAATTACTTGCAAGTGAAGGCAGTTGTTACTCCCTTGAAGAACCCTGCATGGCTATAGTTTGCAGCCTGGATTTCGGGGTCGGTGGGGGGAGGGGGAGGTTGTTTCTCCTCTGTGTCCATTCCCCTTCTTCGTGCCTGGTAATTTGAGTGGACATGATGACGATGATGATAAAAGATGAAGATGGTCGCCGTGAAGAATACTGTCGTTTTTCTCTCTTTATTTCGTGTTGGTGGTTGTCATCTACTTTCTTTTTTACTTTTTGGAGGGAGCCTCTACTCTAGCATTGATTGTTTACTTTGGGCTTTTCACTTTTGTATATCATGCAGCCTTCTGTACCAAAAGCTCTTCATGGTGATCACCTGAACTGAATCTATGATTCGAATAATTAGAAGGCAAAGTGCTTCCCTTTGAAAGTGGAACTCTTTCCAGATTAGCCCCTTTTCCCCGTTGAATGATGTAAGGATTTTATAGCTCAAGAACCAGGAGAGGGGGAAAAAACCAGCACCGTGTGTTGGGAGGCAAAAAGGCTACTTATTTTATTTCATCAAAGGTAAAGTTTACACTGTTCGTGATACAATATATACAGCTGTAAATAAGTAAAATAACAAAACAGTACATAATATAAACAAACATTACAACAAGGTACTTAAACTAAGTCTACTTTACAATATAGTCCAACACCCCCCCTCAAGCTGGAGCATGAATATCCAGAGTGCCCAGCTTGGACTGCAAAACAGAAAACACTGCAGTAGGCAAAGACTTTGTAAAGAGATCAGCAACCTGGTTAGTAGTCGAAATATGCAGCACTTTAATTAAACCAGAAGCTATCTTATCACGAGTTAGATGACAATCTAACTCTATATGCTTGGTACGTTCATGTGCAACTGGGTTTTCAGCAATGCGTATGGCCGACTGACTATCAGAATACAGAATGCTAGGGGTAGAAAACGAAACACCCAAAGCAGCAAACAAGTAATGTAACCATTGAATTTCACAAGTTAAATCTGCCATGGCTCTATACTCAGCCTCAGTGGAAGATCGAGAAATGGTTTTCTGTTTCTTGGAACGCCAAGCAATTAACGAGTTACCTAAAAACACACAGAAGCCGGTTGTGGAACGCCGAGAATCAGGGCATCCAGCCCAATCACTGTCTGAAAAAGCCTTTAGAGTCAGTTCTGAATTACTAGGAAAAAATAAACCAAGACCTGGATTTCCTTTCAGATAATGAAGAACACGATAAGCAGCTTGCAAATGTACATCAGTGGGCGCACTCATGAACTGAGTCAACTGATGTACAGCAAACGCTATATCAGGACGCGTGTTACACAAATATAATAAACGTCCTACCAAACGACGATAGACCGAAGCATCATCAAGTAAAGTACCAGTCTTACTAGACAGCCTAATTCCTGGATTACAAGGTGTGCTAACAGGTTTAGCAGCCAACAAACCAGAATCAGACAAGAGATCCAAGACATACTTTCTTTGGCACAAAGAAATTCCAGTTGATTTACGCGCAATTTCCAGCCCAAGAAAGTATTTAACATGTCCTAAATCTTTGATTTTGAATGCATCATCTAAGCCTTTCTTAAGATTTTCAATTTCAGACAAGTAATCACCAGCCAAAATTATATCATCTACATAAACAAGCAAGGCTAAAAACTGACCATCCTTGTGTTTTGTAAATAATGAGTAATCAGATTTTGACTGTTGATAACCAGCATTCAAAAGGAATTCAGTTAACTTGTGATTCCACTGCCTACTAGCCTGTTTTAGGCCATAAAGTGATTTATTCAATTTGCATACAACATCACCAGAATTGGGAGGAAGATTTAAGCCTAAGGGAACTTTCATGTACACATCTTCATCTAGTTCACCATGCAAAAAAGCATTATTTACATCTAGCTGATGTAAATGCCATCCTTTAATTGAAGCTAAAGCAAGTAAAGCCCTAACAGTTGTTAATTTAGCAACTGGGGAAAAGGTATCTAAATAATCTATACCTTCTGTTTGAGTATACCCTTTTGCAACTAATCGAGCTTTAAAGCGCTCAATAGTTCCATCAGGATGAAATTTTACCTTAAAGACCCATTTATTTCCAATGGGTTTGACTCCTGGTGGTCGTAGGACAATAGTCCACGTTTTTGTTCTGATTAGTGCATCCAGTTCAGTGTTGACAGCAGCATTCCATCTTTCATCCTTTGCTGCCTCATGATAACTAGTAGGTTCTGTAACAGAACTTACTGCATTAACAAAACTAGAGTGACCATTAGCAAGGTTAGTGTCAGAAATAACCGAGGATAATGGATATGGAACAGAGGAGCCCACTGCAGAATTACAAACATAATCTTGCAATCGAGCAGGACGTTGTCTATTCCTAGCAGGTCTGCCAGAAGGTGCAGAATCAAAAATAGGAGGATACTCAGGAGGTGGAACTCCATCATCGTCGTCAGAAACAGTAGAAGAAGAAGGAACTTCTATATGTTGGTCGGGATTTATGGAATGAACTACGCCATCCACTGTGTTTGCACCATGAGGTGTAACCGCAGCAGAAGGCGAAACCTGAATGACAGGAAATGCAAACTCAACTGAATCCAGATTTTGACTTTTATTAAAGAAGGGAAAAATAGACTCGTGGAAGACCACATCTCTAGATTCACAAACAGAATTGGTAGCTAAGTTATAAAGTTTATAACCCTTAGTGGCAAAAGGAAATCCTAGAAAAACACAAGGATCTGCTCTAGGTTGAAACTTGGGACGATTATGAGACAAGGTAGACGCATAAGCCAAGCAACCAAACACACGAAAACTATTGTAATCTGGAACAGAATCATGAAGCAGTTCATAGGGAGACTTATCACCTAGGACTGGACTAGGAACTCTATTAATCAAAAAAGTGGCATGTAACACAGCATGACCCCAAAAACGTGAAGAAAGAGAAGACTGAAACAAAAGAGCTCGAGCAACAGCAATGATGTGCTGCTGCTTGCGCTCCACCCGACCATTTTGCTGAGAAGACTCTACACAAGTTGTCTGATGCACAATACCCAAGGAATCAAAAAATGCACGCATCTGAAACTCCTGACCGTTATCTGACCTAAGTGTCTTTATCCTAACATTGTATTGATTTTGAACATGAGCAACAAAAGTCTGAATCAAAGGTCGAGCTTCAGATTTCTTATGCATAAGGTAAACCCATGTATTACGTGAAAAATCATCTACTATGGTCAAAAAATAACGATGACCCTCAAAAGTAGGAACACTATAAGGACCCCAAATGTCAGTATGCACGAGATCAAACATATGCTCAGCTTGAGACTCACTTACCATAAAGGGAAGACGTTTCTGTTTGGCCAGTGGGCAAACAGAGCAGTGTTTTGTACATTTAGAATCAATACCTCTTATTCTAGATGCTAGAGTTTGTAAACGAGACAAAGATACATGACCTAGGCGAAAATGCCAAAGATCAAAATCATGAACAGTCTTATCAAACAGCACTGAAAAAACAGAAGAATCTGGACAAGGTGAAGACATTGGTAGAGGCAGAGGAGCTGAGGTGTGCACTGTTTCTGAAAAACAGTAAAGTCCACCGCTCTCTCTAGCTATACCAATCATCTTGTGGGAAGCCAGATCCTGTAGTAAGCAATGATCAGTAAAAAACGTCAAAGAACATGACGAATCTTTGCTTAACTTGCTAACTGAGATCAAGTTAAAACCAAATTTAGGTATTAAAAGAACTCGCTGCAGAATTAACTGATCATTTAGCCTAACCGAACCTATATGAGTAACAGGAACTCGAGAACCATTCGGTAATGATACAAACACATCACACACAGCAACAGGTGATATTAAACAAGCAATATCAGACACCACATGATCAGAAGCACCACTATCTAAAATCCATTTAGATGTGTTAACAACCATAGAATTGGCAAGAATAAACTTACCTCCATCCTGACTTGAGGAAGCACCTGAGGAAGAAGCCAGGAATGCAGTGTGTGATGGATAAGACTGCTCGACACAACCTCCAGTGGTGATAGAGTTCACAGTAGGGACTGGAGGAGGAAGAGCCTGAGGGTGACTCTGAGCAAACAATGCTCTATACTGCTGCTGTGTCAAAACAACAGAATCGGAAGGAACACTTCCGTTCTCACTAGAACCAGAATTGTTAGTGTCAACAGACTCACTAACCACAGCATTGACTCTAGGACGTGGCTTATACCCTGGTGGATAACCATGTTTCTTGTAGCAACGATCAACAGTATGCCCAGTCAAGCCACAAAACGAGCAAACAGGCCTTTTCGACTGGTTATTCCCTCTATGAGGACCAGACTGAACAGCACAGGCCATAGGATTGACAGGTTTAGGGTTAGGATTCCTAATCTGACGCTCATGCTGGGCTATCATGGAGAAGACCTTGTTAATGGGAGGCAGAGGATCCATTAACAGTATCGAACACCTAACAGACTCAAAATCCTCATTCAGACCTCTCAAGAACCTAATAACCTGATCTACTCTCATGTACTCAGCACAAGAACAGCGAGGAACACATGCACAAGATCGCACAGGACGGTAAGTCATCAACTCATCCCAAAGAACCCTAAATCTAGTGAAGAACGCACTTACAGAAAGATCGCCTTGTTTAAGACCATAGATCTCATCTTGTAGATCAGCGACGCGAACTAGATCTGCGATGCTGAAGCGCTCCTGGAGATCTCGCCAAACTTCGACCGCAGTGTTGAGCCAGAGAACGCTCTGTGCAATCTCCGGCGAGAGCGACCGGAGAATCCACCCGAGGACGAGCGTGTCACACATCTGCCAGGCCTGGAAGAGCGGATCGCCAGCAGGAGGCGTCGGGACGGAAGGATCGACGAAAGAGATCTTGTTCTTCGACAGAAGACCAAATCTCATCGATCTGGCCCAGGAATGGTAATTCGGCCCGGTGAGAACGACAGAAACAAGCTGCGCCGTGGACGAATCGCCAGAACTGATGAAGTACGGATGATTTGGTGCGAGCGTCGCCGAGATCGGCAACGGCGGCTGGAACGAAGAGGAAGAGGCGGAAGAAGTCGCCATGGAAAGAGAACGCGGAAGCAAGAAAAGAGACGAAACGGAAAGAACTCTCTAGAAACGGTTTTGCTCTGATACCATGTTGGGAGGCAAAAAGGCTACTTATTTTATTTCATCAAAGGTAAAGTTTACACTGTTCGTGATACAATATATACAGCTGTAAATAAGTAAAATAACAAAACAGTACATAATATAAACAAACATTACAACAAGGTACTTAAACTAAGTCTACTTTACAATATAGTCCAACACCGTGAATCAGTCACACACCCTGTCTCACTGTCTGTATAAAACCCCCCTTGGCCAACAGCAAAACAGAGTAACTGTAATCTATCAAACTTCTATCAAACACAAAACCAGATAATGCAGTTGGGATTTTGTGGTGGTGTGAATGAAAATGAAGGGAAGAGAGTTAAAGTAGTTCAAAGGAGCTAAAAAAGGCTCATTTATACAATCTTGCAATATCGTTTCCACTTGCTTTGTCTTTTAGATTTGGTCAACTAGATTCAGTTGTTATATTCCTTACTGATGAGTTTTGGATTTTTCAAAGGTGCGTCTAAACATGGTAGTTTAAGGAAAAATAATGTACACTATGGGCTCATGCATGATGTTTGTAATTTTGTGACATTCTGTTTATATATTAATATGTATTAGCTCGACGAGTTTTGGGGTTTTCGAAGGTACGTCTGTTTTATTATCAGAGGAATAGTTCTAAGCATTGGGTACTGACTCGTACTAACTACACATTCTCAACAGAATGCCAAGTATAACTGACGACCGGGTGTAGCAAAGGGTAAGTAAAGTAATAAAATTATCAAAGCACAGGTCTCTAGATGTATTGTTACTACAACTTAGGTATGTTATCTAGCTAAGCTAGAATAGTGATTAAGATTAAACCAACTACACTAACCAAACCACTACCCTAGCTAATTACAAGGTTGGGAGTTCACTTAGGCATGAATCCTCCTTGGACTAATGTTGAGCACTACCCTATATTGATCGACTCGATATTTCTACTGTAGAGAATTTTAAACTAGGTTGGATTCCCTATTCGAGTGCATCCAACCCCGCTCAATTGCTCCACCCAGATAGGCGTATCGTACAACCGGCGTATGCAATTGAGGTGTTCAGAATCAATTCGAACGACTAGACAAGACCCAATACGACATTATAGATCCTATCACGCTCGTTCGAAGATTCATAGAGAGTGATTGAATGTGCTTTATTCAACCTAATGGGATATTCTCCCTCCTAAGCAAAAGCTCAATTGACATGTAGTGGGATCAAGACTCATCAATTCATCATAAACACCAATCAAATAGATAATATGAGTAGTCAATCATTGGATTTATCACACACATCAAGAATCAAACCAAATTCAAGAACTAGGGTTCATCAACCTAAGTGAAGGAGACTAATTCATAGAGAATAAGAGAGAGAATACCATAAAGTGCTTACAACTTTCTATCTTCATCTTCTAGGCGATGATCTTCAAGTTCCAATGGTGATTTCACCTCCAAAATAGCTTAAAAAACCCTCCTATGTCACTCTTTCTATGGAATTGCCCATAGGGTGTTTTGAGGTAGAAAAAACACTCATCTCCCCTTCTCAAAAACCCGTCGCTGTTAATTTATACTCATAGCAGTGCAATGATCACAATTTTGTGTGCATACTTCACAATTTTGTTATTATTATCACTCCCTCTGGCAGAGTGGCAGTGAAGTGTGCAGAGCCCACGAAATGCACTAACCCTACTGGAAACTAGCTTTGTTCACGGTTTGGGGGTGATTTTCACGCTCTCCAGACAGTGAATATTACCCCAACCCGTGAACCATGCAAAACCTTCACTTTTTGACTCATTTTGACCTCTCAATATCCCGAAACTTGTCCTTGAGCTTCATATACATACTCGGACCTGAAATGTGACAAAAGAAGTACAACCTAACATAAAATGGATCGACGAATGACGATTACCAAGTCAAACATCAAGATATTAGGGGATAAAACATGTGGTTTTCTACTCCACCTGAGATTTAGAACCTTTGTGGTTTTCTACTCATATCTATTAGTAAATTACTAATAAATTGTTGGTTTATATTTCAGTGAAAGAAAGAAGAGGGAAACAGATTCTGCTTCGAGCTAATTCCAACAAACTTAAACAAAACTAAAATGACTAATTCCACTAGGAAGCCCAAACTATTTAAAAAGTGTCATTTGTGGCCTAAACTATTCAATATGACAAATCTGGCCCAAACTATATGCATTTTGTGACATTTGTGGCCTAAATTATTCAATATGACAAATCTGGCCCAAACTAGATAGAAGCTGTCTACATTTTCTATGATCTACTAACGGTCAACGTCGGTCAACATTAACAAAAAAAATAGTTTGGGCCAGATTTGTTATATTGAATAGTTTAAACCACAAATGACACTTTTTGAATAGTTTGGGCTTCCTAGTGGAGTTAGCCCAAACTAAAAAGGGAAATGTTCATATTCACTTTCTTTTTTCTATGAATTTTGACTACTAAAACTCTTTGGATTTTTCTAGTCCATTGAGATTAAAGCTCGGCTTTCTACTAAATATTTATAGATTATCATCTTCGGATTTTCAAGTTTCAACCCACCGAGACTAAGGGGTCATTTGGTGAAAAGGATATGGGTAATGAATTCACAGAATCTATAGATTCAATAGAAAATTATTTTTTTCTGCTATTTGTATTGTGGATTTTGAGCGTTTGATACAAAATTATAACTTTTATTTTTCATTGATTGTTAACGATTGCAGTTACCAAACAATGAACATTTTAGAATATTTTTTCAACAATCTAGAGAGTCAAAATCTTATTGTTTAGATTCTACAGATTTAGACTCCAATTCAACCCAAAACCTTTGTGGTTTTCTACTCCTTTTGAGCTTAGAACCTTTGTGGTTTTCTACTTCTGTTTATTAGTATATTGCTAATAAATTTTTGGTTTATTTTTCATTGAAATAAAGAAGAGGGAAATGGATTATGCTTCGAGCTAATTCCGACAAAGTTATACAAAACTCAAGTGCTCCACTCCAAGTTGCAACACACACATTGGCACCGACAGAAAAACCTGACAGCTTTTTTTTACAACGTCGACTTCAGGTGGTGGCAACAAAAAATGTATTTTTAACTCACCACTTTGGGACTTCAAAAGTTCATCAAAGAGGAGATCCCGCGCAAGTGCCCAAAATGGATGGATTCTTGCAATTTGAGATTGGAGCCATTTTGACTTCCTTTACACGAATTATTCGATTCAATGTCTATAGCACCACTGCTACCTCTAAAAAATTGTGGGAAGCGCTCGAGAAGAAGTACAAGGCTGAAGAGGTCGGGGCGAATAAATCCCATCGGTGCCGAGTTTTTAGAGTACAAGATGGTTGATTCCAAAGTCATTGTGACATACATCATGATAAGCATGGGACTTTTGCCCAAATTATAATGCTATAAATCAAATGTCAAGTATGTGTAGAATCAACGTTTACAAACCATCCCTATAATTTCGTTGAAAGAACTTATGAACCTTTGAACTTGATTCACAACGACATTTGTGACATAAATTCAACACTGTCTCGAGGTGGAAAAAGTACTACATAACATATATTGACGATAGCACTTGATATTGCTAAGTCTATTTAATTAGTACCAAAGGTGAGGCGAACAATGCATTCAAACATTTCAAAACCAAAGTTGGGAATAAGATCAACAAGAAAATAACAATGGTCAGAAGTGATAGAGGCACTGGTGGATATAGATTTCCTTTTGCATAATTTTTTCTAGAAAATGAAATTATTCATTGAACGTCATCACCATATGGCCCACCACAAAATGGAGTTGCAGAAAAGAAGAACTAAAATGTTAATGAAATGATGAATGCTTTGCACCTAAATTATGTTCTTACCTCAAATTTTGTGTACGAGTATATTCTTACTACCACACAAATATTCCATCCTAGGTGTAAACCGCTTCAGATCACACATTTGTGCTTCGCAGATGACTTGATGATGTTTACGAAGGGCTCTGTTAGAGGAGTGGTAGGTATTAGAAGACTAATTGATGGGTTTTATAAGCTGTCAGGTTTGAAATGCAATGCATCGAAATGTCAGTTATACTGTGCAGGGATATCACAGGGGGAGAAACAAGCTATCTCGACATTCACTGAGTTCCCACTTGGTGAGTTGCCTGTTAAATAACTGGGTGTTCCGCTTATTTCTGGGAAGCTTAAACCGTCGGACTGTCAGGTCCTTATCGATAAGATAACGCAGAGACTTCGTAACTGGAGATCTAGATTGCTGAGTTATGCAGGTAAGATTCAGCTTATATCCACTGTGATTACAAGCACTCTTCAGTATTGGCTCAACATTTTTCTACTGCCTCAGTACATTATTAAGGAAGTTGAGAGATTGTGCAACGAGTTTTTGTTGGATTCTGCTGAAAATGGGACCAGAAAGAGAGCAGTTATGGCCTGGGATAATGTGGCATTGCCTAGGAAGGAGGGAGGTTTGGGTATTCGAAACTTTAGTCTATGGAACAAAGCTTGTGTGTTGAGGCACATTTGGAACATTCTGATTTCAGGAGGGTCATTATGGGTGGCATGGGTCATCAGATATAGACTAAAGCAGAAGACTATCTGGGAAATTCCTGCTTCTTCTGCTGGCAATTGGATTTGGAAGAGATTCTTGAAGTGCAGGAACCTAGCTTTCCCCTTTATCTCTGGCAATGGGCCTCATGTTCTTTGGGAAGGAGAAAAGATGCAGAAGTATTCAGTAACCAGAGTATGGAATGCAATTCGGATACATGAGCAAGAAGTGCCTTGGTGGAAGCTTGTATGGGCTAAAGAGGTTATTCCAAAGCATGGTTTTATCCTTTGGCTTGCACTGCGTGATAAGCTAGTACTCAATAAAATATCATACCGTACGACTTTTGGTCCAAGGGTTTAGACAAAAGGAAGATCTTGACTAATTTGACATTTATGGCCTAGACACGAAGATTACATCTATACATATGTTAATTGCTCTAGCCGCCACATACATTCTCAAAATCCATCAAATGGATGTGAAAATACATTTCCAAATGACAGCCTAGAGGGAGAAATATACATGAAACAACCTATCGGGTTCATTATCCCTATATAAGAACATAAAGAGTGTAGATTGATGAAGTCTCTATATGAAGTTAAACAAGAACCCAAACAATGAGATGATAAATTTGAGGTAGGAACTTTGTCACATGGTTTTTGGTCATTGAATTTAAAAAATGTGTATACATAGAAAAATCCACTCCTAACGAAGTCATTGTTTGATTATATTTCAACCCCATTATTAATAATGAGTAACAATATTATTACCATAGAGGCTACAAAATAAATGATATCCAGATATTTTGCCATGAAGACCTAGGTGAGGTTGACTTTACTCTAGGATTATTATGTTACAAA